GTCGTACAACCTGGGCGAATCTCATAGCGCAAGGGTCGTCCTTGCACGTTAGTTTCATGCATCATGTTATTATCATCAAGTACAATTGTATTGATTACATAGGTGTCATGGAATCATCATCAAGTACAATTATATTGATTATATGGATGTCATGTAATCATCATAAAGAACAATCAAATTGATTCAATGTGCCATCATGTAATTATCATTAAATATTTATCATCATGAATCATCAAATTGATCATTTGATATAATGTGCCATATCATGAATATTATTATAGATTTTTGTGGAGGTATATATATGTATATGTATATATGACTATGAATTATTCTACAATTCTAGCATGGTACCACTCAGCGGTTTCGCTGAGCGTGTAGTTTGTATTTTTTGTTGACTACACGTAGGTAATAAGAAGACAATGACTGAACCACTCCCGAAGGGCATTGAGTCAGAGGAGATGCAAGGATGGCAGGCAAATGTTTTATCATCAAGATTTTAAATGTGTCATGATTTGATTATTATTGTACTTCCGCATTACTCCGAAAATATTTTTAAATGGGTCGCGATCCAGAGTGTGTAAATTTAACATTTATAAGAAATTGTCATTTTCAAATGTCAAGTGAAATTTTTATTTAATTCCGGTTTCACCTTAATAAGTGTAATCCCGGGTTATACGGATTAGGGTGTTACAAACCAAGGTGACCCTCTCGAATGCCTTTGTCGTCTTCTTCACAGCTTCGAGATAAAGAGATCGGGCTTTCTTCTGGTCTCCTCTAACTTGTCCTATACCGCCCGGTGTATAGAACTTCATGCAGAGATGGGCCATGGAGATGATTCCACGGACTTTGTTAATTCCTGGCCGGCCCAGGATGGCATTGTGAACACATTTGATGTTCACTACCACAAAACTCATCTCCTTTTGCATGACTTTGTCCCCCGTTCCCAACTCGCATGTTATGAGGATTGTTCCCTCAGCTTTAACAGAGTCCCCGGTGAACCTGGACAGGGGAGTTTTTAACGGTTCAAGCCGTGTGCGACACAGCTTAAGTTTCTCGAAGGCCTCCAGGTACAAAACGTTGTCACTACTGCCCGTTTCTACAAGTACCCGGGAGATATCAACTCCACCCATGTCCATGGTGATTACTAGAGGATCATTATGATCTTCCCCCGTGATGGGAAGATCCTGGTCAGTAAAAATGATCGGCTCCCGTTTGGTTTGCTTCTGCCTAGGGTCAAAGGCAAATGAATCCACATAAAGTTCTCGTCCCCATTTCTTTCTTTGAGAAGCCGAATCTCCTCCCTCCGGTCCACCGTAGATCATTTTTACATGTTCCTTACCGGCTGCTTTCTTCTTTTTATTTTGGTCGGCCGATTGTCCTTCGGGCCGGACCCACTGATTCTTCTTTTGTCTTGCCTGGGCTAAATATTCCTGATCAAGCTCCCCAGCCTCGATCATATGCTTAATTACCCCCTTAACACTATTGCACTCGGTAGTGTTATGAGAGTCCGTTTTGTGGAAAGAACAATATTTTTCTGTCCACTGATTTTCCCCTGTCGGTTTCTTCTCCACCTCAGGTTTCACCTCCATCACCTCAGCCTTTACCCTGCCGGGTAGTTCAACTTCCCTCTTTATCGTAGTTCTCCCCCTAAGGTGGCCTTGCTCGGCTTCCCTTTTGGAAGAAACCTGAGCCTCAGCATCTGCATAATCCCAAGCCGTGTTGTAGACCTCTTGGTAGGACTGAGGAGGTCTCCTGCAAAATTCTTTGTACAATTCTCCGGAACGGAGTCCAGAGACCAGGAGGGACATAGCGGTTTTTTCGTCCATCTCCTCCACCTTGTCAACTTCATCCTTCCACCGGGTGAGGAATTTGGTTAGATCCTCATGCTCCCTCTACCCGGCTATACTCAAGTAGGTAAACTTTTTCCTATTGGTACAGTTTTCTTTGAATTTCTCCAAGAATACCTCGGCCAGTTCGCCAAAAGAATCAATCTCACCATACGGGAGGTTCTGAAACCACTCGGCGGCTCGGCTGCGGAGGGTCTGGAAGAAAAGCAAACACTTTTCGTCCCCGGTGAGACCCATCATTCTCCCGCTTTGGTGGAGGGTTTTGATGTGGATCTCCGGGTCCTCCTTGCCAGTGAATTTTGGGACCTCAAGTTTAGCCTTCTTTGGGAACGGGGTTTCGTGTACCTGATCAGTGAACGGAGATCCATTCAGCAAGACCTTTTTCTTCTCGTCCTGGTCTACCCGTCGTTGTAACTTCTCCAATCGAGCTTCCACCCGACCCACACGGTCCCTGGGTTGTTCAGTATGCGTACGGACTCGATGCCTCGGATGACTTTCTACCTACTCTTCCTCTAGGGGCGCCCGACTATGTTGGGGTTCATCCCGAGGAGGTGGTTCGGTTCGCCTGGTCCAACCAGGTTGTCCACCTCCTCTTCCCAGCCGGTCAAAGGAACTCACCGGAATTGTCTCTACCCCCAACCGCTCCTTGGCCGGTCGGTTCTGGTTCCTTCCCTCGTGTCCCAATCTCTGGAACGCTGACCGTCTCGATCCTTCCGGCTGGACCGCCTTTCCCTTCAATCTCTTTTGGGCCTGGGGTACGTCCCAGTCATCTTTTCTGTGAACTGAACGTACATCCCCATCTTGTGTTATTTGGGTGTGTGATCTTTGGGACTGACTCCTTCTGTACATTTTTATTTGTTAAAAACATCATTTTTATTGTAAAGAATCATCCTTAAAATAATCATAATCAATTGGTATCATAAATAGGATTTTAGAGTTCAAAAATAGCATTTTCGGACAAATTTTTGGATTAGAATTTCAGGGGATTGCAGTGTGATCGATCAAGGCAGTGTGATCGATCAGGGCAGTGTGATCGATCAGGGCAGTGTGATCGATCAGGGCAGTGTGATCGATCAGGGCAGTGTGATCGATCAGGACAGTGTGATCGATGCAAGCAGTGTAGTTTCAGGTACCTGTTCATCGTCTTCTACCTTCGGTCCATTTTTGGAAATATCATTTTTTAGTTACCAAACTTGAATTAAACTATATAGAAATGTTCTCCAAGATTCATAAATCATTTTGGTATCATTAATTCATGATTTTAACATCAAATTCAAGGTTTATGATTTTTGGTTCTTCAAGCAAGTCAAACACAAAACTCAACCAAATGACCATTTATGAACGTAAAAACGACCTATACGAACATTCTAGTCATTAGATATATCTACGGGCTTACTTTGAAGTGAAACGATGATTCTGGCGGAAAAACGGCGAAACTTCCGGCGAACACCACGGCTTGCTCCGGTGACTTCACACCAAATTGACAACACCACTGCACTCTTCTTTCAACAAGGAACGAAATAGAAGGAAGAATAGAGAGAATTGATTAAGAATTGAGGGAATTGGGTCTCCTTTTATAGGGAAGAAGGTGAAGAAAACTCATGTTTGTGCGTCACTGCAAATCCGCGATCGGCGTAGTGGGAGGAGCGGAGATTCCTACTGATTTTAAACGCAAGTCCCTGATTGGGACTAATTTCAGTTCCAGTTGGGGTACACTTTTTGGTCCAACTTTCTCCGAATTGAAATCCGTTTGCACCGTTGCGATCAGACAGTCAAACTCTACACAACGATATAATTTTTATATTTATTTGTTATACTTTTTCCGACATCATATTTTTGGTGTTTGACTTTGACAAAGTCAAAATTGATTTATTTGACCTTTACTTAAAAAGGTGCTCATACTAAATTCATATTAAAGTTTACATCATAAACACATTATTCATTTATTACTGATTTTGGGTCTATACTCAGGTTCCCCAACCAAGATTACACAATTAGTCAACATATTGGATTTATCTCTATGAGATTTATCCAGATTAAGATATTGGATATCAAACACATATTATTTCGGCCCAAAGTTCAACAATAAATTATTTTAATTAAAACAAATTTGATTAATTTATTATTTGTTTATTAATAATTCTAGGGTATGTTTTGGGGCGTTACACAAGCCATGTAGGTTAATTAAAGCGTGCCCCACAAATAAGGCTTTTAGTCCTATTTATAATAATCTCTAAGCACGTCAAGCACGTCTTTGTTCATCAGGCCGGTCAGTCCTTAACCGGTCAGTTTGTATGCCTTCGCCAGACGAAGCCATGTCTATGATTTCGGATCTTCTCACCCCTAACCGGTCAGACTCCCCGGGTCGACGGGGTCATTGGGGATTGGATTTCATACCTCCCGGTCGGTACAAACCTACCGGGTGGAATCCATGGGTTATTACCCATCAAGAGTTAACAAAAACAGTGGGGAAGTTTTAAACTATTTAAATCAAAATATAAATTAGGTTCTTGCCCTTTAAACATAATAAATTCAGATATAATATTTGAGTTATTAATAAATAACTTCTCAACTAGCATTCATCTATCTCTCTGCCCTCGCTGTCCTCCATGATTGTTTCCTCATTCATCGTTTATGTTCCCTACATGTAGCAAATAAGAAAAAGTGTTACACGTTCAGCATTGAAGCTAAGTGAGAAATATCTAACGTTTCGACTATGCATATAAATGAACCGACTAGCTCATAATTTCATACAATATCATGCACACAATTATAACATTATCAATATCACATAACAATCATTAAAGGAATTCACAATTCACAAATCAACTCCTCAATACATCTTTATTTATAGCTCATAATCTAAATACTAGGCTAAGACCATACATCCTTATTCTCAACCTTATCTTCGGACTTAGAGCCACCACCTACGGTCATGACTCAAGTCTACCTTATTCAATACATTACAACACAACACGACTTGACCAACGAAGGAGTTCTCCGCTGCGTTGGTGGTACCCGTGTCCCCTTCGGAATGATAATTTGTGGATCCGGTACGTACGTTTTAACTCACACGCGTCAGATATCAGATCCGCAGGGCTGATTCTACCTATTGACATTTGCACTTATAATCTTACTAAAACAGTCCTAGAGTTCCTCTAGGCAGCCTAATCATTTTATTCAAAACGTCTCTAGTATGCACACTTATCCCCACAACAATCTCAATTCCTTATTTAGTTTTAAAATACAACAAGATGATATCCTATATCTTATATCATATCCTATCATATCCTATATATCCTATATATCCTATATCCTATATCATATATCCTATATATATGGACCTGGCAAAACTAACTCGAACCCAATAACCCGAACCGAATAACCCGGAACCGAACCCGATTTGACCTGAAAACTGAAGAACCGAAATAGAACCGAACACCCGAAATGATCCGAACCGAACCGAATGTATTCAGACTCGATTCAGATCCGAATCCGATTTAACCCGAACCGATTAAACCCGAACCGATAAAACCCGAACCCGGTTAAACCTGGAACCGATTAGACCCGAAATTGATTAAATTTTATGTACGTCCGTGTTAAATAATAAAATAACTACGGAGTACATCATAAATTGATTAAATTTATTATGTGATATTATTGATTTATTAGTAAATATTTAAAGTATATATGAACTAATATAAACCTAAATCAATATAAACCCAAATCAATATAAACTCGAACCGATACAAACCCGAACCGATACAAACCCGAACCGAAACCGAACCGAAACCGAACCGAAACCGAAAACCAGTCAAACCGAAATAAACCCGGAACCGAACTGACCCGAACCGAACCGACCCGAACCGATTATAACATATATCCGAATGAGACCCGAACCGAAAAGAGCCAAACTAGAACCAAACCGATTGACCCGATTGCTAGGTACACACACACACACACACATATACATACATACATACATACATATATATATGTGTGTGTGTGTGTGTGTGTGTGTGTGTGTGTGTGTGTAAAAGAGAGTTAACAACTTGTGGTGATTACACGTGTCATGCCACATGTAAATCACAACACACATGTCACTCCACACATGCATCTTTAATTTTGTATTAAATTGTTATTTTTATTATATTTTATAAACCCTTCACTTTCCGACAATAAAAAAACCCTTATTTTTATCTTTTTTAGATTTTAACTTTCTAAATATGCATGACTATTATATAATATTAAAAAAATTATATAAAATTTATTAATTAATTAAAACATGTTTCTTATAATTTTTAAAATTATCCAGCGGGTCACAAAAGAAACTATTTTATATAAATTTTATCACACATGCATCTTTATTAACTTCTTAACATATTTCAATTTTTTGTCTTATTTTATTATATATTTTTTTAGCAAACTAAACAAAGTGAAAGTTTAATTGATGGGTTATATGTGGCACATGAAAGATATGCATTCTCTAATGATGTCAATACTTATCCAACAATCTCCCACTACCACTATATCCAATTATGTATTCCATGTATGCCCATGCACGAAGTGTGACCCTTGTGTATAGGTTTTCCCAAGACCTAGGCCAATAGGTTAATAGATTGTTTATCCTTTCTTATCTTGCAAATTTTGATACTTTCACGTTTTTACAACTTTTCGTATATTGTGGTGAGATCTAATGTTGTTTTGGTTTCTTGGTGAGATTATAACTTCTTTAGCTTTTGTAGCAACCTTATCATTGTCAGTACAACGATATATATATTGATTTCTAATGCTAGGAACGTAACTGTGCTATCCTTTTGTGAGAAGCTACCAAAACCAAGATCTAGTAATTTTATTCGCCAAACAATAGACTAAGTGCTGTGAGCGCAGCTCAACGGTTGAAAAAATATTCCTATCTAAATAAATTATCTAGTGGAGTAACGCCAAAGAGGAACGCAAGATAGTCAAAATAGGGATCTTAATTAACCTACTAAGAAAATCGATATAGGGAATCTCCGATTCAATATTGAGGGTTATTGGTTTGCTTAAAATAGTGTGAGATAATTAATTAAAGACCTAATTTATTACTCCCTCCGTCCCACTGTCTTTGTCCACTTACCTTTTGGCACACCATCCAATGCACTTCTTTAATCCATTTTATCTTGTAATTTGTATATTAAAAAATTATAGAAATTATATATTTGTTGGAGTTGTGCCCTGATGGCCAACTATCCTTCGTTGTTCTATCATTAATAGGTAGATATAATATGTTTACACATCTCATGCTAATGTAAACAAACATTATATTCCTAGATTTATATTTAAAGATGTTTATCAGATAGTATTTTTCTGCTGATGAGACTAACATCTTGAAATAAATATTAATCTGAATGTCCATAGTCGAGTATTAACGAGAGGGGGATATCGTTAATGCATGTGAGACTAGTGTGTGTTGGATGTTTGACTTAGTCTCATTAGTCAATGACGCTGTGTTCACATCTGCACATGGGCAGATATTATCTGGAAATAATAGGATGCCGGACTGACCCATCCTAAATATGTTGCTTGAATTTTTATTTCATGCTCAAAGCATCTTTAGCGCGACCACGGGTGTAACTATCCTTCGACTTGAAGTATTACGTTTTCTGCATATGTGAACCCGCATGCTTTGATGCATTGTCCTAATCCATATGAAATAAGGATGGTATACAGGCTTTGTTTTGGGTATGCCGCAGCGCGTATTCAGAAACGTAGATTATGTACATAGGATTTGTCACTACTCTTTTTAAGAGATTAATGTCTTATGGGGCCCACTAATAAGTCATGACTGAGGTAACTGCATGGCCATGCTGAGATGTTTTTATGACGTCTGTTCCTATTAGTCAGACTTGATAAATCAGTGAATGACTTAATGGATACAAGTTGGATTTTATTAATCCCTTGCATTAAGTTTAGACATTGAGACAAAGGGATACAGTTACACGGAGTCTGAGTCGTGGAAAGGTTTTGACGGTGCAAACGTCTTAACTTATAATCTGGGGGCAATAATGTGTTGCTAGATACTGCTTATTGCTTATAGTATTGGTGCAGAGCCAATACTGTGGCCAGTTTTATAAGTGCCTATACGGGTCACACACTATGAACAATTTAAGGAGTAGGATTAAACAATGAGATAATAAGTAATTTGTATATTTGTAAAATAGTAAAATAAAATGTTTTGGAATATAATATTATATATATGTAAAACATTCGGTGATATATTTACATATATAAATACCGAAATATATATATATATATATATATATATATATATATATATATATATTATATGTTGAATATTTTATTTTGGTTTGTCATTTTAATTATGAAAATAATTATTTTGACATAAACTATTTAAAGTATATTTTATACTTGTTTAAAAATGATATTGGTATTTTTATTTGATTTAAAATTAATTTTATATTAATTTTTTATGTCAAATAAAATACACTTTGAACATTTGAGTGGAGAAGAATTTCAAATATCCTTCTCATATCATCATTTGGCCATATGGATTTCAAGGTTGACAAATTGGTATTAACTTACTTGATTGATAAATTAGTGATTTGTAATTGATTTGTTAATTTGTCATTTTATGCATAATTAAAGTCCAATATTACACCCACTTTCTCACTTGAATAAAATAGACCACATTCATCAATTTGGTCCTAGGGAATTTTCGGCCACTTCATTTTAGTGAGAGAAAATTTATTTTGTGTTCCATTAATATCATTTTGTGTATAGAAAATATATATAATATTTTAAATATTATTAGAAATATTTTCTATAGAAATATACAAGATTATTATTATCCCAATTTTAATCTTTATATTTTATACTACTATAATCTTTACTAGCATAAAGATTGTGGTAGACTCCGGGGTTGTTCGTGTGTCAAAGTTGGAGACTGGACGCTTGAACGTTTATGTTTGCACTTTCTACGCTCTTCCTACGACTTCGTCATTTTTACCGCTTACGAAGAAAGGTATAAATTTCTTACTACTATATGTTTTACCGCTTACGAAATGACTAATATATATTTTGTAAAGTTATATCTCAGTAAGAAAAAGAATTTTTAAAAAAAATATTAAATTTTTATAATTTAATGTTTTCGAAAATAATTTAAATGGCCTTTTATAACTTATTGAGATTTAACTAATATATTTTGGAAATAATGATTTACAAATTTAGGAAATTTTATTTCCAGGTTTATAAATGTTTATAATAATTATTGGAAGTTGAAATTGAATTTTCATGATTTTTGCCAAATTGTTTTGAAATTTTATTGCCTTATTGAAAATAATTTTGCAAAAAGGGCATTTTGGTCAATTGGAATATTCTGGATTTTTTTATGCTGGCAGAAATCCAGATTGCATAAAATGATTATTATAAAATTTTATTAGATTTATTTGGACATCTAATTTAATTTTATGAGTTTTAGAAAATATTTACTGCCGTAGTATTTTTTCTAGAACTGTCTGGGGTGAGCGCGGTTCACCCGGTGTATGTATATCTCTATTGCTTGTGTGGATGTATGATATGCATGGTGGATGATTGTTGCTATAGTTTATTTGATTATAATACGGCCTGCGTGTCGTGCCCTATCTCATAAACTCTTGTTGTAAATCTATTTCTCTCTCTTACCTCAACCGAGGATTCTTTTCTCACGTGGTGGTTAGAAGACGAAAAGATTTGAAGACTGTTTGAAGAAATCTAAAATAATGGAGATAGCCCGAAGTCCAAGTGCCCGGAAGCCAGTGGGAGCTATCGTTTTATTTTTCTTTTAGGGGCCACAATCATTACACGTTTATTTACTGCGTTTTGTGAATGCATGTTGAATGTATGTTGAACGCTAGTAATGGACATGTGCGCGACCATGTCGATAGGTGAGATCGAAATTATAAATCCCTCACGAATATTAAGTCTGTTGCCTTCTAAAGCCCGGAACCTATCCGGCTAATGTGCACTGTCATGTACTCAGCCTCAGCAGAGCATAGTACGGTGTATGTTAAGCTGGTTACGGGAACCGCCATAGCGTGGTCACTGTCGCACGTTGGGTTAGACTTAACTGAGTCTCGGTCAAATGGATGGACGACTCAGAGGCAGTAAGTTGGGGTCATCAATGACAAGTCGGATGATTTTACTCACTCATCCAGCCAGGAGTTGGATCTTTATGATTTAATTGGAACTCTATTCCTAACCAAAGTAGTCTGCTTGTAAGACGTGCCTCAGCCAATTACAAGTATGGTGAAAAGGTGTCCTGGTCCGGTTGTAGTAATATTGTTCGCCCAACACCAGACCAAGAGCTGAGAGCCCGGCTCATCAGTTGGAACTATGTTCCTACCTAAATAGTTGTCTTGTGGAGTAACGCCCAAGCGGAACGCAAGATAATGAAATATGGATCTTGG